CTCAGAAGGAGGAGTGTTTGGTCTCGGCCTCCCGGTTAGCTCAGCCCTAATATCGCCATTGCTCTAAAAGTCAAAATTTTGGAAAATAAAAAATTAAAAAATTTCGTTGTCACGTTAAGTTCCCTCACCCCCGCTTTTGCTTTACACTGTCGCCGGATTTGGACTTGGCAAAGGGTGTACATACGTGCGACGAGGCGGTGCCACAAGTCATTTGATGTGCGCAGCGAAATGCGCCCTAGAGCTACAGCGACGCAGCGTCAGCAACATGGCTACCCCTCCACCAGTTGTCTGGCAAGAGGTGTACGACGGGATCAAGCGCCCGCCATGCTGCCGCTATATCCAGCGTATCGAGGATATCAAACACCTCCGCCAGAAAGCCCCTCAGCATGCCCCACCAGCGACACTGGAGATTCCTGAAGACTACAAAAGGTTTGAGTAGATGCAGATAGAACATACTAATACAATATTCCCATGTGTAATTGCTCTTGTGAATTATAGATGAATAATTGAATTATATTGATAAGACAGTAGAAAACTAGTAACGTTGTCCTAATAGGACAGTGCATGTTGGGTTTGATGTTGTCCTAATAGGACAGTAGTCTGAGTTGCTGTGTGTCCTAATAGGACATAATAAGTGTCGAGTTGTTGAGTGTCCTATTAGGACACACGGAGCCTGGCTTGTTTCGTCCTAAAGCACATTGTGGTGTCCTAAATATTGGACCGTTTATGAACCGATTGCTAGTTTTTTATCCCAGGTTTTAGGACAATACGACACTTTAGGACACCTAGTAGGACGCATTCTCTCCTACCACTTGCCTTGGTACAGGCACATTACGAGGGTAACCTCATCGTGAACGTCGTCAAGTACATCAAGAACAGCGATCATCGCATGTATGGCTGCATCGCCAAGAAGTTCGACGGAGTTCTCATCGAACCGAAGGTACGTGCAGCCCAGCAATTAGCAAGCGGTCTTATGGTCATCCTCTCCAAGATGTTCGATCGTTGTGCCGGTGGAACTTTTACTGAGGATGATACTGTGAATGATGCCGCTCTCGACACCTTCATCTTCTACGACCTGGAGGAGTTTACGGTCCCGTCAGGTGAAGCTGATGTCATTCACAACTACCTCCCAGTGGCTGGAGATACGCGTGACGTGCTCTTTGCTTTCCTAGATCGAGCTACTGTTGTGATTGGCGATCGCTTCGCCAAACGTGCAATTGCAGCTTCAGGGCTGAAAGAACAAGTGGAGCTGTTGATCACAATTGCGCAGTGTCTAGCCGGTAAACTAGGATACAACGACGCACTGGATCGAGCCACTACACTCGTCGAGAAGATCCGTGAATTGATGCCAGAGGAACATCAAAGTCACTTGAAACTCACTGCGGCGTCACTGCCTGCTGTGCTACAACAAAAGATCAGCTCAACGAGTGAGTTGACGGCATCAGTGAGTGCTATCACACTGCTGACGACACAAGAGGCAACGGAGGACGCACTGGAGGAAGACGACGTGTTCGACCCCAAGACAGTACTACAGACTGTAGCCAGCTGGTGTAGGATAATGCGTCCTAAGACATGTCCTAAAGTGTCCTATTTGTCCTAAATTTTACAGGGAGATTTTGGAGATGTGTCCTAAAAAGCGACTAATCCTTCGCTACAGAATATTATAATTTGTGTCCTCCATATTGTCCTAAAACTCAAATATTAACTTTCTTCTGGACCTTCTACTTAAAATTACATAAGCGTTACTTAATACACACATTAGCGTTACTTACTGTCCTAAGGCACACTACCAACCATTTATCAATCTCCACCACGGCAGCTAAGCACCATGGACCATCGCGGCTACTCCTTCTGCATCAAGCGCTCGTGTCCTGAAACAAGCACGGTTTACTACGTCTGCAAGCGGTTCCGCAAAGGATGCAAGGCTAAGATAACTGTCCGATCAGGTGCAGTTGTAGCAGACGGGGTTCTACATACGTGCGACGAGGCGGTGCCACAAGTCATTGATGTGCGCAGCGAAATGCGCCTAGAGCTACAGCGACGCAGCGTCAGCAACATGGCTACCCCTCCACCAGTTGTCTGGCAAGAGGTGTACGACGGGATCAAGCGCCGCCATGCTGCCGCTATATCCAGCGTATCGAGGATATCAAACACCTTGTGAATTATAGATGAATAATTGAATTATATTGATAAGACAGTAGAAACCTAGTAACGTTGTCCTAATAGGACAGTGCATGTTGGGTTTGATGTTGTCCTAATAGGACAGTAGTCTGAGTTGCTGTGTGTCCTAATAGGACATAATAAGTGTCGAGTTGTTGAGTGTCCTATTAGGACACACGGAGCCTGGCTTGTTTCGTCCTAAAGCACATTGTGGTGTCCTAAATATTGGATCGTTTATGAACCGATTGCTAGTTTTTTATCCCAGGTTTTAGGACAATAGGACACTTTAGGACACCTAGTAGGACGCATTCTCTCCTACCCTATCAACTTGTTAGATACTTGAGGCTCCAACATACCGTGGTTGATGTGGACAGGACTGCGAGCACGGTTTAACGAGTGTGGGTACGCGCTGTCGTCGATATAGACGTCCAATGGAGGCATCCCCGGTGACAGAACCCAGCAGTCGACAAGCTGTCGCGTACCTTTCCAGACACTGGAGCCAGCCGTGTGGATAAATTTCACACTGGAGAAGTCTTTTGGAGCAATAGAATTGCTGCCTTGACGCTGTCGTGCAAATTCTGCCTGGTCTGATGACGTGTGCTTCGTGTAAAATACTTTGACGTTGCGTGGACTGCCGTTTTCGCTGTACCAGCGCGTCACTCTGTCGTAGCATACGTGGGTCTTGCACAGTACGACGTCGACTCTCCAATAGTGCGTAGCTGTGAGCTCAAACATCTCAATGTTCGGCATCAAGAAGAGCGGTTTATCCTTTGGCCAGCGTGGAGATTCCGAGACGCCGTTCCAGTAATGATTGAAGAAAATCATCGGCGTCTTGGAACACAAATCGAAGTAGTCCACTTCTCGTCCAAGTGAATCGTCATAAAGCTTAATTTCCAGAGCCCACATCGGGAGCAATCGTGAGTCGAGGTCTATGCAGAGTAATATTGTTAGGATGATGTCAAGGGCATCCGACCCGCAGTAAAGGTACGTACACTTGGCGTATGCTACTGCATCCTCGCAGTATCCGTTTCCACGCAGTCCAAGTGGTAAGAAAATGTCCACGTCAGGACATTGTTTTAGCTTTTCGCGTAGATTCGAGTCGTTGCGGTTGATGAGCTCGTAGTCATTGTCTGCCGTTGCATTTTGCCGTTGGTGACCGTCTCGAGGTGACCCGAACTGCCACGGTATCACTGCGTCTTTGTTGGCGATACAGGCTTCGTGCAACAGACTCAGATGCAGTCGGTCAGCTACAGGGACTTCAGTATCGCTGTTTGATTGTACCCACGCAGGTACCGGTACGTTATTGAGTGAGTTATTGGCAGTTTTATCGTCCAAGTTAGCTGCAAACGAATCTTTGATGCCGCCATCGAGCAGGGAGCTATCCAGCAGGAGTATCAACAAGCAAAGCCCCACAAGAGTGAGCAGAAACTGCCTTTGTCGGCGTGGTAAGTCTGGGTTCTGCTTCATGGCCAATGCAAAGATGGAGTGCTACGATGGTATTACTCGTACTGGTGGCTCCGGGTTGGTGATAAGTCTTGCCCACGTGCGTAAGCATTTTGGCCATCAAGGTTCGATTCAGCAAAGTAACAACAGCTATATTTCCAGAGCTCGCAAACGTAATTTCCGGTTTACCATACAGCCTGGCTGCTTAGGACAGGGTGATGTGGAAGGATCCTTTATATTACCGGTAATAGCTTACCAATATAATAAATTCTTCTCACAAACAAGCCAAGGATTTGTCCTATTTTACAGCTGTTTGAGTGTGGACTACAGAATAATCTGTAATCGAAATGTACGCTTAATTTTTAGGCCGTGTTCGATTTAAGCTAAAACCAGCTGTAATTGGTATTAAAGAGCTGGAATGTCTCAACCAGCTTTATTCCGCTAAGAAACACAAAAAATGACATCCAGCAGGATAGCTCCAAACGACTGGTTTCAAAATTTAGTTTTGGGTTGAATTTTGAACTTTGCGCCTTCAAATCCAGTATGTTTTCTGATGGAACACGATCACTTATTTTATC